ACGACCACACGTGGTTCACGGATGGGCTTCACCACTGATGTAAGATCAACACCACCGACATCTATCTTCCTGCATTGAATTTTTGGAAATTCACTGATATTAGCACGTTAAAATACCCATCAAGAATAAAATTCAAAGCCTCCGCAAATGATTTTACCTCCGCTTTGAAAATGGATCATCCTCATCAACCTCGTCATTAACACTGTTAAATTGTGAGGCCGCACCTTCTACACTATCATCATTTGCTTGTCGAGGAGATAGCACATGAGTGCCATTTGGCTCAACGTCACAAGTGTGGGCATTAACAGTGGATTTGTCTTCAACGAATGAATGAAACAAAAACAAAACAAAAAAAACTTTGAACATTAGGCCATATATATTTAAAAAACAGAAATCATTAAAAGGTTGTTTCACCTACCTTCTTGATCAGTTAAAGATGAAACCTTATCACTTTTTTCTTCCTGGATGGACATAAGGGCACCAGCAGTAAATCGGCGGCTAGGTTGAGGTTTAGGATGATCATGTGTACCCTTATAGACAATCTTTGTAATTTGTCCATCATAAGAACGTTCAAAAATCTTTTTCACCTCGCAATTAGGATATGTACATTTGTAATAACTCCGTGGAAATTCACATCCTTTAACAAGTTTCTGCCCATATTTTCGCCAGTTATATCCATCATCCGATGACCTTTCAACTGTGACTGAAGGCCCCGTATCTTTATGATCAGGCTGTGATGCTTGAATTCCAATGGTATTGTGCCCTCTCTGGCTTAATTCTTCAGAATCAATCCCAGCAGGTACAGCAACCCCTGAAGTAAGCATATTTACAGGTGCAGATAGACTAAAATCTTCTGAGGAGGCTGCCAATTCACCCTTAACTAAAGGAGACGAAGCAAATGACCGAGTCTGGCATTGATCTTGGACATATTCCGGTGATTCACTTTGCTGCTGGTTGAAACCTGCAGATGTCTTTGATAGACAGAGTAAAAGCATCAGGCAACCAGTACCCAATATAAATTCAGCAGTTCAACAGCACTCAGAGAGAGAGAGACCATGAACTGAAATCCAGATAATATGAACAGGTGGGCAGAAATCACAAGAAGAAAGCACCTAAAACAACATGCTATAATCAATTTGATGTTGTAGTAAGTTTGGTAAAAAAATTGTCCCATGCTCAATTTTTTTCCAGAGGTGTATGCCATTGTTATTTGTCATCATTCACTCATTGAGAGCATGTGTAAATAAGAAGACTGCTGGGGCAGGAGGCAGGGATGTGGAAAAGGAAGTAAATCAAATCACATGGCTAAGAAACTCATCTTCAAATAATCTCTAATTCTCGTTCTTACTAACAAGAACTGTGAGTTTCATTTATTCAATCACCTGATTAAAGATCAAGCTGAAAATAGCCATTCTAAGGTCTTATTTCAGTATGAACATAAAAAAAAGATACTTAAAAGGGTCAGAGAGCATTACTGCAGGTCCTGTCGATGACAATCCTGAAACATAATTAAATCCAGTTTGGAATTTAAACTCGAAGCTGCTGGATTTTCTTTCATCAAAAGTATTGCTAGTGGAACAATTTGTGGTTGACGAGAATGCAGCAGTACCACCGAAACCTTGCATCAGTTGAGGCTTGGAAAAGGAGCCGGTAGTTGGAGAAGGCTCTGCCTGCAAGATTGTGATGGCAGTGTGTAAAATTATAGGACACAAAGACTTTTCTCTAATTGTCTAATTTTCTTCCTGTTAGCTTCAAATACCAACAGGGCATTAAACTGAAAACCCATTTAAATTCTCACACAATAACCCAATAGCATGGCAATCAGACATACTTGTAGTATAACATCCAAAATAAGATATATCATCTGCTTGAGGCCATGATTTGAAAAAATAATATATGCAGATGCAACATCATTTTCCTCCAGGGAACAACACAGAGTAAAAGGCCAAGCACCAACAAAAGAAAGATTCATTCTGTGAAGAAACAACACTGAAAGATTAAAGAGGAAAAGGCTTTTTTAAAACTAACAAAAAGTGATGGATTCTAGAACAAATTTAGAGAGGAATAATTCCACAGAGAAGCTAATATAAACCACTGTCATGCGAGCATCAGAATCCAACTGTCCCAAAACGCACACACAGTAATATATAGGAGCACTCAAATGAAAAGAATAAATTAAAAATCAACTTTGCAAATTGATGAAAAGAACAAAACATCTAATCAGAATTTCCAAATTGTACTTTAACAAAGACACCGTTGATTTTTAAAAGGCTCAAACGAAACATCTCAGATCAAATCACATCACCCTATCCTCACAAATTCTCCACTAAACCTAACGTGATGTAAGCAGACCCTTTTCATTTAGTTGCTCAGATAATGTATGAGTAGAAAAAGAAATTCAAAAGTTGAAGTCCCACGCAAGGGTATCGACAGGTAACGCAGAATGAAACAAATTAACTTCCACCGTAAAAACAGGTGACGCAGCATGAAAACAGAAGATTAGAAATTTTCTCAGTAACCAAACAGTGCCTAAAATATACCAATCGGGCACCGATTCTTATCTGAATCTAAAAATACTACCACTACGACTATAATTAGTATATAATTTGTAACACATAGATACATACAGAAGTAGTGCAATGAAGCAGTAAACAAGTAACCTTGATGTTGGAGAGAAGGACAGGGGACTCGAGAAACGACGTCGGACTGAGGCCCGCAGGCATGGTGATACAAGGGGACCTAGAGATCGGGAGCTTCGCAGGTGACATGAGCCTGTACTTCGCACCGTTGATCGATCCGTTACCGATATAGTCAGCAGCCTCCGAATTCGCATCTCTCACGCGCTCATGGCCATAAATCCCACGATTTTCACCATTGGAGCTGTGAGGTCGAAGCTCCGAACGAGTGCTTTGGACTTCCTGAGAGCGAGAGACAGAGTCGGAGTGGGAGTCTTCCATTGACGATTCGGAAAGAGGAGGGAGTGGTGGTTTTGTGAGGAAGAAGAAGATGGGAGAGGGGTAGTGTGGTATTTTCAAGTGTGTTTGGGGGGAGGGGATTGTGTGTGAGTGTAGATTTGTCAGGAGAGAGAGTTCGGCGCAGCGTGGTTGACTTGTTACATATTGGATCTGGATGCCATTGCCTTGTCATTATCCAGTTTTAAATATTACTTCTGCTGTGTTTTTTTTTTTAACAACGTACCGGGAATAATGTATTTAAATTTTTTATAATTTAACTCTAAAAAATTATTAAAATTTAAAATTTAAAATTTCTAAATTTATATTTTATCTTTATTACTACTTTAATTTACTATTCGTCTCTAATACTATTATTGTTATTTCGGTGGTTGGTGTACAAAAATACAATGAATAACAGTTTACACCTAAAAATATTTAAAAAAATTTAATTTATAATTTAATAATTAATTTTTTCATATTACACCCTAAATATTATCAAATAGTTATAATTTTTGTCAAATCTATTATATGACTCTCACATTAATTACAGTCAGATTAGATAGAAACGACAATGATAAAAGTTACATTATAATTTTTTTATGACATTGAAACTTGAAAGTGCAATATTAAAAAATTAATCATTGGAGATGCAAAATCAGCATTTTAAATTTTTTTAGGGTGCAAAGTGTGATTCACACAAGAAGTTAACTATGCTTTCAATGTAATTTTCAGTTGGCAAGATATACTAAATTTGCTAATTAATTATGGATTAAAACCATTTTGAATGTACACGAAAGAAACCTAGTATGATCCGATCCATTAGCTACTCTACAATGGGGCTCCGTGCAAAATAGTCCCCTTGTTTGTTTTTACTTAAATAAGTACCTATGAAATTCAAATAAAACGTATTTTACAGAGAGGATTCAACTAATATATGGTGACCAATCAATTATAAAGATACAAATAAAATCTACTCCATTAAATAGCTTGGAAGTGTATAGTATTTAAATAGCCCAGATAAGGGTATTAATTGAACTAAGATTTACGAACTGTCAAATTCGTTTTTTTAAGCAAATCTAAAATATTGTTCAGGCTCGGATTGTTTAAAAAATGAATTAAACCCGAATAACTTAATTATTTTACATATAAATGAGTCAAGTGTCTCGAACTCAAGTCGAGCCCTTTAAGCTTATTTTTCTAAACGAATTTAAAAAATTGGTCATTTAAAACACGAATTGAACTCGAACCAAATCAAGCTCATATAACTCATCTAGATTAAGACCCCTAACTCAGGATCTCCTCTAATAACTTTTTTTCTCCAATTTTATTCTTGGCGAATCATCCACCCATAATGTATGATGGGCTCATTTATATACAACAAACTCTATTTAAATGCATAATAGGTGATAAAATTAGAGAGAAAATATATTCTCACTCCTATTTTAGCCATTCGTATCGAATGCCAATGCCTCTGTAGATTTGTTTTTCCTCTAAATTTTTTTCCCTATTATAAGACAGTTGAGCTACAATCTGGCCTTGTACATACAAAGGCATAACATTGAAAGAAAGAGAAATCACAACCTAAGCTACCTCAACAAAACATAAAAAAGGATAAAGGGAAAGAACAATAAAAGCCTCATTAAGGGTCACAGTCGACAAGCTAGTGGACAACCTTATAACTTTTCTAATTACTAACCCACGAACAAACGTCAACTTCTTTCCCTTTCTCGCAAAGCCAACTAAGGTTGAGAGGTCGGAAATATAAGTTGGAGGAATAGTTAGTTTGAACTAAGTTAGTTTCACCTATTTCCTAGACAACCCTCCTAATAATATCCAACCACATAAAACTGCTTCCCCTCACCCGACCCGAGGGGATGGGAGAGGAGGAGGAGGGGGGGGGGGGGGGGGGGAGTCTTCATGATCCTTTGCTGCACCATACAAAGGGAGCAAAGGTATGGGGATTACAAAAATGATATACAATAAACTAAAAATGTAAAGGGAGAAGTATCAATAGAAAGATGTATATACCAAAGCAGGTTACATTCTCCCATGACTTATGTTTTCAAAAGTAGAACTACAAAGTGAAAGAAACCAAACAACTTCCTCAACAGCCAGACTTGTTCACTTGTTCTACAGGCTCTAACCAATATTACCAAACTTTCACCAGAGTATACACTAATCTCTTCAAAAATCATTATTGCACACAAAAAATAGGATCCAAATAATAATGCGGCGGCCAGAAATATTGCGAAAACAAAAACAAAAAAAAAAAGTGCTTTCTTTGGGATCCAATACAAACAATTAAACTCCATCACTGCATTCTGGCCATTGAACTAGGCATTGTTTTCCCCAAAAAAGAGCATTTGGCCCAAATCATTGCTACTGTAGTTTCAGACGGGTACCTAAGAAACAAATGACCACAAAAAGAGGGCACTTAGGATTCTGGAGGGGTATGCTGCAGTGGTCACCGTGCTGAATGCTGCCACCTGCACTTCATTGCATATATGTGCATGTCCCATACATATGTGCAATACAAGCCCACACATTTAGTAAACCGATACCAAATGGGCAGCTTTCTTTACTGGTTCCGGCAAAATTACATAGAATCAATGCAACATAAGGTGCCATGATTCAAGATTGGTGTATTGGTAATTGGCATGGAGGATGCACTGGCGGCCCCATAGAATAGTATCATGCTATTCGCATAAAATGCTATATAGAAAAAGAAATTGGACTTGAGAGATTTATCTTAGACCACAGCGCCGCAAAATGGCGTCGGATGATATGTTGTTATTCGATGATGATGACATAGGCAACTCGGTTGAGTCATTCGCACTGCTCTAAGTAAACCACGAATCTCAAAAGGCTCGTGGTTTACACGGAATATGTATCAACCTCCAAACAAAAGGTGCCATTCTGGATACAATCCGCTGAGTCGTATCAGTATCAACTGATACTTTCTTTGGAACCATGAAGGAACCCTTCAATCAACACTCAGCAACTGAATCTCCAGTATGATAATGTACTCATAAACGGGGTGAAGAAGTCCTAACAAGAAGAAAAGGAGCTGCAATAGACTACTTGCATGGGATGCAAAGAACAGCTCCTAAAGAAAATCAAACACAGCAGCTAGTACAATATAATGGCAGATTAGCCCGAAAGACAAAAAACTCAGAACTCCAGGCAAATGCAAAGTCTAAAGGAGCCAAAACAAACATAACAAAAAAGAAGAAGAAGAAGATGAAGGGAGCTTAGAAACCAGAAAACCACAAGAAAAATGAATACCGTCTAGTGTCGTAATTAGATACCAAAATCATTCCATAAGGATATACAATAAAAATGAAGAAAAATGGACTCACCACCAAAGATTGACTAATTGTCTCATATATGGTGGTAAAAGCATCCTTTTTTAAGGAGTTGGGTAAGGTGGGAAAGTGGTAACAGTAGCATCATAACTACACCTCCAAAAAGGATGCCGTTAGACATAAAGGGAAAAAAAGAAGAAGAAAGAATTGAAAGGAAAACGGATGGGTATCAATCCCTTGTGGTTTCCACCTTCCCAAAAACCCTTGGAAGAATCAATTCCAAACATGAGGCAATTCATGATTGCTTTAGAATGATGTGTGCCATAAGCTACTATTGTGATGCTAGACAGACACAATTTAACAATCTAAACAAAGACCAGTCTGGTCACTGTGCTACAATCATGGTGATCAAAAAAGGTCAGTAAGGTTTTCGATGACTGGAACTGCAAAGTCGGGGCAATAGCTAAGGTACCCTCCAAAGTTTTACGACACAAACAAGGAAGAGCAACAAACTACTCAGGATAGTAAGATAGATTGTATTGTGGTGGCAAACCATGTCCATTATAAACAATTGGCCGATCATAATAACCAGATTGCATATGCGACTCTGAAGCTAAATTGGATTCAATAGGGGTTAGACTCCCAGGTATAAAATCCAAAGGAGCTCCCGAAAAACCATACGGGCCAGCAGACGACCCAGCATGAAAGGCCATGGCCGGAGTGGTGCCTGCCAAGCCGTCAGGCCCATCTCGTGAACTTAGGTATGGAGCATGACAATCTGGCAACAAACCTGCTACCTGTAGATGAGATTGTTAGAGAGGGGATGCGGTTGAATAGGCAGCAACACTCTGTGGCATTGTAGCTGGACTAGTAGTCCGAGAATGCTTGCTTCCACTGCATTTTTGTGGTTTTGACTGCTGCCAAGGCTGGGGAGTAGGGACTGCTGCAGGGCATTTCCTGTTGGTCTGCTCCATCTCTAGTTCTTCGATGCGCTTTACAAGGATCTCCTTTGGATACTTAGATTCAAGATTGTAATCCTCAATGCATTTAATGACTGATTTCAGCACACCAACTTCTTTGTCCGTGGCCTCTCTCTGCTTGGGAAAGTTGATGAATGCCATGGGCAGCCGTTTTATTCCTAATTTTTACTGGCTTAAAAAAATGTAGGAAGCAAAAATACCCAGAAAGCCATTCATATTAAGATACACCCAAATACCAGCAATTGATGAGAGTTGTTTCTGCTCTTGGGAACTTTCTGAGAAAGCTTCTTATTATTAGCATCATTTACATAGTCTAACAAGAGGGGAACAGGTTGGAACTTGTCAGCCAGCTCGAATAAAAAAATAAATTTGACGGCCAGAAGTTGTTTGCCCTTAATAATGAGTTTGTGAATAACATCTGCATAAACCAGAAAATATTACCATTACCATCAATTTATACTGAAGTAGAAATAAAGGAAAATCAATAGGCACGTGTAATAAGTGGGCGTAGTTAGAAAGGTGCGAGGTATTGGCATCTCCAATAAATAATTGTGATGAATAAACTGAGGTGAACCTTGACATGGACCAAAACACTTATTGCAAAGGCAAGCTTGCTCATGGGCTCTCTTCTGTGGGCAGAAAAGTGCATGAACCAAAAACTCAACAGTGGCTACTTTATTTATCTTGTTGGATTTCTTCCCTATTTGACTTCCTCATTTTATCTTATACAGCCTGAAATGTACGGGACATAGAACTCTACTCTTATATTCTCCCACTGCTTAGGATGGAAGCATCTCCGACCTAAAATAATTATCATCTCCAATTTGTTATTCATGTTTCCCAGCCAAAGTTTAGATTACCCACTATAAAATATATAAACTTCACAACCAGGGATAGGTCATTGCTGTGGAAAAAGTCATGATGCAGTTGGCCCACAATTTAACAAGGTAACCATAAGGCCCATTACTGCTACTAACCAAGAAGGGGAAGAAAATTTTTCCAGCTGCATCTCCCGAAACTAAATAAATTTATTGAGACGATCATGATTTGGAATTTCCTAAAGCATTTACTGAATTATGTTCGTCACTAAAGTAAAGAACATAGCAATGGAGGTTGAGGTAAGCACTTAATTTGGATTAATGAGTATTAATATATGCATGACTAACTAATCTGCGTAAGCCTCTTACTCCAGTGAGATCATTTATGCACATACCAGACAATTGAAGTAAAAATCATTATCATACTAATCCCCATCTCCACAAGACTTTTTCGACTTCTAAAGAGAGGTGCATAACATACAACAATCATTTCTCAATTGCAAAAACAAACTTAACCTATAATACTTACCCCAAAAAAACCAATGTATATACTAGCTACCTAATAATACAATCAACCAAGACTAAATTGAAAACAACGAAGGACAACGACTTATTGTGGGAAAAAATAAGTAGCAGGACCTAAAAAAAGCCTGCATCGTTATGGATACCTTCTCTTCAAAAAGAACAGAGGAAACCTAAGGAAAACAGTCTAACTTAAACACAGCTTGTTCAAACAGCTCGAACTAATTGATCATCACAAGCGTACAGTTCTTCATCTAATTTGACAAGTCCCACTCACTGACATACACCAACCTCTCATATCCAATTACTTCTTATCCTAGATTGCCTTATAAATCTACCTGTCTAAGAATTCAAAATCAGTTACACCACTATTTCAGCCAGATAAGTTGTACAAACAAACCTACCTGCTCCAATTCATACAAGCACAACTACCATAACACTTCGGATGCAACACCAATGAAATACCACAAAAGTCCAGTTCCAGTTAACATTAGAAAGTCCGTCATGCATAGAATACAAACACATGCATGTACCATACCATAAGCTGAAGCACACCATCAACATAATGCAACAATCAAAGAAACACCATTTAAAAAAGGCAGAGCAATGATATAATAAAATGCAGCACCACAATAAATGGAGCTCCAAACATTAACAAAACCCTCACCAGCCAACATGGCAAATTGGTGTCGTGCTTAACTGATTCTGTTAGGCTGACGACCCCTAGCAGATAAGCCACATTGGCCAATATGTGAACCATGCATATACTACATATTACCAGCATTTGACCAAAGAGCAGATAATTTTATGTGTATAATCCCACAACTGATTTGTTGTTCTATTAATAATTGTAATTATCATAGTTACTGAAAAAAAAACTATGAATCATTGTCTTTCTCTGATGATAAATGCTTGGGCTAACAACCATTATATAAAGTTAGTTCTATACCCGGTCTATGTCCCCTGGCACCCTTAGTTACCGAGGCAAACCTAAATAATGACCTTTTTAGTTACTAAAAAACCCATGTTGTTAAAAGTAATGTTTAAAGGTCCCATTATTGATGAGTTATGGCTTGTATAAATAGGTGATCACTACTGTAAGATTTCTCATCTAATTCCACAAACACCATTCACCTTATGTGTATCGAACAACAACCAACTTCAGCACCTTAAGAACCACTGACACAAAACATCAGCACTCAAAGATACTAGTTAGCAGCAACTGTCAATTTATTTTCAACGTAAAGCAGTCTAACAAAACTGCGCTAATGCAACATCATACACTCCAACTAACTCCAAATAATCTATCCCAGAAGATCATAAAACTTAACTAATGCACAAGTCCATCGTTTACATAGCAAAACAATCAAAGAACACCATACAAGAAGCATGACAATACTACAATTAGCAATGCATCGCAGAACAACACAAGATAAAGAATGTCAATTGAGGCAGACTCATGAGATCCTCACCGGACATTTTATTCAAGGGAACAAACTCTCGACACAACTCCATAGCTTCCCGATACCTGGCAACACTGGCAATATAATCCACAATCTCATTCAAATTAAACCCTTCCACCACTCCATACGTCGCCAAAATATGCAAAAACCCCCAAAATGTCGAACGATTCCTTTCCCTTCCATTCATCCTTTCTAATCTTCCTTTTCCATTCAATCACCAATTTCCTCGCTCTCTCCTTCACTTCTCCCCCAATTTCAATTTTTGCTCTCCTCAACTCCTCCAACAACGCCATATAAGCTAAACTTAGAGAACTCAACACCTCATTTTCATACTCGTCCTCATTCGGAGGATAAAACCCCTCCATGACGTTCAAAACCATTGCCCCCAGGTCCGGTGAACACCGAAACGCATCGGCAAATTCAGCCCTAATCTCGGGTCGTTCTTTGGGCCTCTGCATGACGTATTTTCTCAATCCCAACTAGTCCATCGTCTCATAAAACGATTTCAGACGGGGCGAGCCGAAACCGAGTCGGAAGATTTCTTGGTGATTATTGAAAAAAACGAGGGTGGTTTTTCTGGTTGGGATTGGGGCTGGTGTTAGACGAATTGGAGGAGTTGGAATTTGTGTTGGAGAGAGGATTGGAGGGAGGAGAAGTATGAGTCGAGGTCGGACCATGTGAGAGAGGAGGAGGAGAGAGAAGACGAGTGGACTTGCAGGCCTTCGAAGGCTCTTTTGAGGTTTTCCTTTTTCTTGTCGACGAGTTTCAGAGCCGAATAGATTGTTTTCATTGTCGCCATTTTCTCTGAGATTTAACCTAACAAACAAAAAAAAAACCTAATTCAGAGAGACTCTGAGAGAGGTCATTCGGATCTCGGAAAGAAAGTCCGACCATACCGCAAGAAACGGCGTCGTATTTTTAGGAAGATTGGTCTAGTCTTTCCTGAAAGGGTAAATTAGGCTAAAAAAAAACTTATCCCTTAATTACCTAAATGATATATTACACTTGGACTATTTATTAGGAGTGTTCGCCCTACCATACGGGTAGAAAATATAGTCTTCCGTCTTCTATCAGATACTTTACAGAAGAATTTTTTTTTATCCTATCTTACCCGATCAAGTGTGGTATTCCTACCCGACTTCCTATTCAATTAATCGAACAGGAAGTCGGGTAGGAAATCGAGTAAACACTTTTGTAGTTATTAATTTTTGGATCATTTTAACAATTCAATTAAATAACATACACCAATTTAAAAACACAATAAATCAATAACTACAACAACAATTATAATAAAACACAAAAAATCATGAACATCAATCCATCATAATTGTTTCACAAATACAATAACAATTATTTTAAATTTAAACTATATAAAATACATTAAAATTATAATTGCTCTAATAAATCATTAGTTCACCACAAATCATGTAAATTATACAAAAAATAAGTTCATGTTTTAGAAACTCAAACATCCACAATAATGATAATATTATAATATAAATTATATTACACAAATACTCTTATAATTACTAAAAAAAATTATAAAAAAATTAAATATATTTTTTGGGTGGGTATGATAGGAATACGGAAATTGATTGGTATTTCACATTCTAATCCGATTTAATCGGAAGACCAAAAATTCTTTCACATTTCTACCTAAATTTTACGACTAACCGTTCGATAGAGTATAATAGGATCGGATAGAATAAAAAAATACAGCCAATTAAAAACTTGAACACCTCTGCTCGTTATATATAATAATTAATTGACAGATGCAACAGAACGGTCAAAAGATCTAAAAGTCCCTAGATATTTTCTGATATTCTTTACAATGACCAAACTACCCTTTAACTGAGTGTATTAGGTTCCCACTTTAGTCGCTTTCCAAAGTGTCTGTCGCACCTTTAGAGTTTCATATTGACTTTGTTCTCCTCCTGGTATAATTACCCTTCATGGAATTGTGGAAGAAGAAGCAAATACGGCATCGTCCGATACTTTTGAGAATTAAATTGTGAATTTTTATTTTAAGTAAAATTCAACCTAATTTGTTGACTATTAAATTATACTGGTGACGCCCCTGCAATGCACGTAAAACCTATCTCTATTATGTAATTAATTAAATAAAAATTATAAAAATTTAGAAAAATGATAGGGAAGGCTTCTCAAGCCTTCTCTCTTAATATATATATAAAAAGAGAGAGAGATGTGGATAAAATGGTCCGAATACTATCAATCTCTTTGATTTTGAGCCAATAAACATGTAATTGAGCAATGATACACATTTATTCTATTACATATGCATGATCCAATGGTAAATTTCTTACAAATTGTAGGGCAAGTGATTCATATTAATTCAAGTAATTGGTGACCACCTCTCCCATGCGTTTATATATTCAACTTGTATTGCATTAACTAACACAATGGACTTTAAGGAATTCCAAAGGTTGATCACAAGAGCTAACTTTGGATATCTTGAGAGTCACCTCTTCATATCATCCCCAACAATTTTTTGCATCATTAGAATTTTAATCCAATTGTGGAAAAAAAAAAAAGACTAAAGTAATGGAAACCCCATCTTTGATTCAATGATAAAAGACACAAATTGAGTAAAAAAACTAGAGAAAAGAGATAAATTTGAACCAACAAAAATTGAAACACAACGACATCCTCCTTCGTCAGTAATGAATATATGAATAGTTTAATAAGTTAAGCTTACCATTGGAGAGAGGAAAGATGGTTAAGGGATTGGGGGTCGGGGTTGGGGTTGGGGTTGGGGCTGGGGTCATTTTACAAAAGGGTTTGGGCAAATAGGAAACGTTAACCTTAGGCCTCTTTGGGGAGAGCATAGAGTTTGTTCTTTTGTTGTTAAATTCAATATTTTGAGGCGACTATAGGTACACGTTTTTCTAACTCAAGGATTTCCAAGTGTATGAGAATAATTTTATAAAGGGTTAGAGGTCGAGGAAGGAGATATGGAGAGAGAGGCAAATCAATGAATAGAAATAGGTATTAAGTTGGGTGGGGGGTTTATTCTTTGGTTATTACATTTTTTTTTCAGTTTTGATCTAGGCATGAGAAGAGATTTGAGATTTATATTCGCGTATTTACTTTAGACTTGTTGAATGATTGAAATCCTCAAGTCATTTTTTAAGTATCAAAACATCTTTTATTTTTAGAAAGGGTTACAAATGACATTTACAAGAGTTAACAATCTCCAATTTGTACAATATAGACAAATCCATCTTTTGTTTTAATATTGTGACTACCTTGGTTTTTAAAACTATTTTCCTCCTATATGGAAAATTACTTTAAAAAATAAAAACTTAAAAATATAACTCTTAAGCTTCCAATTGTGCAATAAGATTAATCCGGAATGATCATAACAAATTAGGATTAAGATCGATTTCAGTTCACTATATTTTAAAGTTTTAATTGTAGATCATTTAATATGTATTCAATTAATATTCATTATACAAGAATATTTCTCCCTCTATAAAACACATATATTCAATTAATACATGAAATATGATTTGTTATTGATAAAAAAATATTTTAATATTGTGATTTCGAGTTCGTGTTGTATATGGATCGTATATAATCGATATATAAACGATTTGTGTCGTATATTTATTTTTAGTTGATTTCACTCCTACCAATCAAATCATGTCGAGTCTATTCATTTATGAAACAGATTGTTTAAAGAAGAACCAAACCCTCAAATGTTGCGTCGTATTAATGGATCGTATTATATTTTGGCATTACCATGTGTACGAGTCAATAATATATTTTAAAGTTTAAACCACGCTAATATGTGGGACGCACTTCTAAAATGATAAAAATATCATTAGGTCCTATTTTTCATCACTAAAAACCATTTAGTCCTATTTTTTGTCACTAAAAACAATTAAATCCTACTTCTGATTATTATTCTCAAGAAGTCTTAAACTCTATTAATAATATTTTTGTTCCAATTTTATCATTCCTTTAAGCACATCAACTACAATTTTACTAATAATTTATGTTAGTAGTGTCACAAAAGCAAATTAAGTTTTTTTTTTCTCTAATTACAACATAACATCTGAAATATAAAATTAATAATAAAGACTTATAGAATTGACAAAATAAATAATTTTATCTATTTTTATATTTACTTGTGTTAAGCATATGAATTTCAACTTACCTCATTAAATCTCAACCATAAAGACATATATATTACAAAAATCAACGATGTAGAAATTAAATATAAATGCAATTTTTTTTTTATTTCTTCTTCCACTTCTGAATTTCTAATTACTAATTTTAGGCATATTTGAAAAAAAAAAAAAAGAATACAAGAGATAAATAAAAAAATATTAATATGTAAAATGATTATTGTACTTTGTAGGGTTCGCTGGCATATGAAGTCTTAGGGTGCATGTTTTGATAATTAAAGACAAGACTTAATTAGATTTTAATTTAAGGTATAGAAAAATTATATTAAATTATAAATAAAAATTTAGGATTTCTTGGGAATAAATACTCAAAATTAGGATTTTATTGTACAAATATCAATATGATAGTTAAATAATTTTTTATGGAGAAACGTACGATTTATTGATATTTTTTCCTTAATAAAATCGAATAAAAGGAATATTTTTTCCCAAGATTCTCTCGCAGAATATTTTATTATTTAGTAGCAAATATTACTGTAAAGGAATTCCACGTCCAATACTTAATAATCCAAACAATTAATTAATCAATGAAACGGCCACTAACCCAGCACCTAACCACGGTTAACTTCACTTAACCACAGATTTAACCCAACCCTAGCAAAACTCCTATATATACCTCTGCTCTAAAACCTTCAGCTTTTCCCATGCGTGGTGTATGTTTTGGTAGATTCTGAAAGACGAAAACCACACTGCTCTGCGAATTTCCACGAAGACAAACGCTCAGAAGCGTCCTCCTTCGTGCTATATGGTAATGATTGCTCCTTCTTTTTCTGTATATTTTCGTCTCTTTACTTTCTTCTCGTGTTTAATGGAGGAAGGATAGTCAATGGAGATTCGATTTGACTCTTGAAATTGTTGTTTTTGAAAGCTTCATTGTTCTATTAGTTTAAATTTTGAAATTTTTTGGAGAGAAAGAGAGAGAAACGCAGGGAGGTAGAGGGAAAAGGAGTTTCATTTGATCATGTTTTGGTCTGAGTTTGATTCGTGCAAGCAATGTGAATCATTCCTCGTTCTTTTTTTATGTATGTTTAAGTTTCTTTACTATCTTCTGTTTCATGATGGAATCTTTTTTCTTGTTTAATGGAGCCATGGATAGTGAATGGAACTTCGATCTGAGCCTTGAAACTATTGCTTTTGAACGCCTCAGGTCTCTGTTAATTTGAATTTTGAACAATCTTGAGAGATAGAGAGAGAATGAGAGGGAATATGAGTTTGATTCGTGTAAGCAACGTGAATATGGCGTTCTATAATGATATTTTATGGATTTGAATTTGTTAAAGTAGTAATTTTTGCTTTGAAATGGGACATTCACCGGTGGTCTGTATTGCTTTGATCGGCTCTGTTGATTAATTTCTTTGAATTTACGAATGAAGATGCCGAGCGTGGACTCTGATCCGGGGGATCGTGACTCGGAGCCATTCGTAGAGGTCGATCCGAGCGGCCGGTATGGGCGGTACAGCGAGCTGCTCGGTTCCGGCGCAGTGAAGAAAGTGTATCGCGCATTTGATCAAGAGGAAGGAATAGAGGTGGCATGGAACCAAGTGAAATTGCGAAACTTTTGCGAAGATCAAGCAATGATGGATCGTGTTTTTTCCGAGGTTAGATTGCTGGGGACTCTGACGAATAAGAATATTATTGCTTTGTACAGTGTGTGGAGAGACGAACAAAGAAATATTTTGAATTTCTTTACTGAAGTTTGTACCTCTGGGAATTTGAGAGAGTATAGGAAGAAGCACAAGCACGTTTCAACGAAGGCGTTGAAGAAGTGGTCAAAGCAAATTCTCAAGGGTTTGGAGTATTTGCATACTCATGAGCCGTGTATCATTCATAGAGATCTCAATTGTAGCAACGTCTTCATCAATGGCAACGATGGTCAAGTAACTCTCTCTCTCTCTCTCTCTCTTTCTCTCTCTCTCTCACAAACGCACTACACAGAGGCATATCTTCGCAGGCACACCTATGACCTATCTGTGCCTCTATATGACCATCTTTTTGGTTGACAAGAAAACAGAGGGAATGTTGGATTTATTGTGGTATTTAGTATTGAATGTTGGATATTTGGGGGGAAGATTCCAGATTAATGGTATGTTTTGGTCTTGAAATTTCAAATCAAATTGTGATTGTAACTCTGTTTCAACTTACCAAATGTTCTGAATTCCGTAAAAACAGGTGAAGATTGGTGATTTGGGTTTGGCAGCAATAGTTGGGAAGAACCACTCTGCACATTCCATACTGGGAACGCCAGAATTCATGGCACCAGAGTTATATGACGAGGATTATAATGAATTGATTGATATTTATTCGTTTGGGATGTGTGTGCTAGAGATGGTGACTCTGGAATTACCTTATAGTGAGTGTGACAATGTTGCTAAGATATACAGAAAGGTGACATCTGGGGTGAGGCCGCAGGCAATGAACAAGGTGAAAGACCCAGAGATGAAGGCTTTCATTGAGAAGTGCCTCGCTCAGCCGAAGGCGAGACCCTCTGCCTCTGATCTCCTTAAGGACCCATTCTTTGATGAGATTGTAGATGATGATGATGATGATGATGACGAAAATGCAGATGATGCTTACATAAGCTGACTAATGGATAATTGTGAATATTGGGTAAGTCGGCTATTGTTGATTTTGATCTTTTCTTTGACTTTTTTTTTTTTTTGGGTGGGGGGAGAGAGAGATGGATGATTTGGGATTTGAGCTGTGACATTCAAAATTACTCCTTGTTTTCTTATTAAGGTTTTTTAGTTGTTGCAAAACAGTGGTTTGGGGGAGGTATTATTGAATTTTTTTCTTCTTATTTAAGTGTTTTTGGTTGTTGCAAAACAGGTGTTTGAATGAGAAACTGGAGTGGGGAGGGGGGGGGGGGGGAAGGTGTTATTGGGGGCTATTTTCTCTTGTAAATATGGTTTGACTTCATACAATCAAATTAGTAGAAGATTTGGATATGTATTGTGATTTGTTATGATAAATGATAAATTTACATTAGTGATTTGTTTTGATTTTGATTCCTCAGTATATGACATTGGTACGTAACAAGGAAAAACAGATAATAATTTTTTTGATTCAACGGTTAGAGGTGTTCAAGTCAATTTATGTATATATTAACTATTTTTTTTACAGTCTGATCGAAGGCAAATCATTCACATCGGAGGATTAAAAAATTTATAAGGGATAAATTTTTTATAGTTTGACTCCAAGGAACTGTTAAGATTCGAATTTACAATGTCTGAGTTTACAGTTTGTCTCTGTTATCATTTAATCTATCTCTTGAAATTAAATAAAAATATATATATAATAATGATGAACTTATATTCATGTTATTGATTAATTGTAAAGCAGTATTTCATTTCATATTTCTCTCTTTTTTTGTTTAGAAAATTGATCATCAATTCTTAACACAACTCTCATTTTATATCAAATCAACAAGGATTAGTAGGTATGTGTTTAATTATACATGATTATAAATGAATCGTTTTGAGCTATGAGAGGCTTCTAAATTAAAAAAGTTTGATTTGCAATGACGTCAAAGGCAAGGAAAACAAATGGGAAGTCAAAGAAAGTTGGATGATCCGTCTACATCATCACCTTGATCCCCAGCCCCAGCGCCGCGATTGATGAGAAAATATTAAATGCAGGGTTGTTAATTAAACCAAGTTACTCGTGTTCAATTCGTTTAAATTTAATTTTAAGTTTAATTTATTTATATGTAAATATTCGGACTCAAACTGAGGTTCAATTTATTTTGCGATCATTCAAACTCGGTTCGAATTGAATTTGTTTAGATGAACAATTTTGTAGACTTAATTAACAAAATAAGTTTTTGGCTCGGGTCAAACTCGTTTGACTACCAACCTTAATTGAATGTAATTATAATTGTCAACAAATCAAATTTAGATTAGATTTTGATTTATTGTCCAAATTCAAATTTGATAAAAAAAAAATTGAGTATTGAATCTGTTCTATTTATCCGATAAATTTTAAAATTTTAATTCATATTTGCTTGGCCCTAGAGATTGAGAGCCAAGCAAGCGTGTAAACCTATTGTAATTGGGTGGTTGAGTCTTCCGGAAGGAAGTGGGTGACAAACGGAACAAGTTAAGCCGCGTTGTCGCATTCAAAGTTTGTTGGAAAAGAATTAGTTGGCGTCACTCTTTCGGTAAATAAAAAGGTTTCCGCTAACTAGGTAGTTTCTTGTATCTAAATTGACTAAATATTTAATTCAAAATTATTGATTAAAAAATAGTTTATCATACTGAAAAAAAATAATCGACACCACACCGTCATTATAAGTTTTGTGATTATTTTTTATAAAATTTGAGGGTTTTTTTACAAATTTTGGGAGTTATTTATAAATTTATTTTATAGTTTTTATGGGTCATTTATAATTTTTGTGGATTATTTTCAATTTTTGTGAAGTAAAAGTTTTAGGATCGATCCCACAAAAATTGTAAATGATTTACAAAATTTATTAACAACCCTCAAAAGATATAAAAAAACTTATTGTAAAATAATCCTTAAAAATGGTAAAAATATTCCAAAAAATTATAAATTTTGTAGGTATGATTCCAATTATTTTTTGTCCTCCTTGGTCAAATGGTGTGGTAGTTTCTTAACTCCTAATAATTATTACGCAGCATAACATTGTTGAATAATAAATTAAAGTAGGCAAGTAAATCTTACTTAATTTAATAACTGTTATGAAAATAACTACTAAGTAGAGTTCACTTTACCTAATTATAAATTTATTATTAAATGATGATACCACATAATAATAGTGACATGATATCACCATTATACCCAATATTTACTCCAACATTATGTAGTTAGATATTTGAGTTTTGTCATATTATTTGGATTATAATATAATACGGCGGAAAATAACTCGTTTGGTGGGATAGATCCAACACAAACAATAAGTTAGACTCACAAACGATCCGACTAATTTGAGTTTATTTCAAATACTAAAATTTCTTCAAATTGTTAATCTTATTTTGTAAATTAATCGAATTTAATAAACCCTATCTTAACTTGAGTAAAATATATTCTGCTTAAATAAGTTAATCTTTATAAATGATTCTATTTTTTGTTTTTGTTTTTTTATAAAATTACCCAATTTCAAAGTATGAACTATGAACTACTCTAAACTTATCTCCTAATAGCTTTTTTTTCCTCTTTCCTATTTAATAGATTTTTGCGAAACTTCTAAAATTTGATTTTAGGGTTGATTGCATGAATTTTGAGAAAATTTTATTTACATAATGATAGCTAATGTATAGATTAATTTTTTAAAAAATATTTTTTTTGAATTTAAGCTTAATTTTGATTTGATTCCAATCAAAATGCTCGCAAATTTTTGACAAACGAGGCTTGAGTAATATTTTAACTTCTGGAGTTGGGTTTGGCTCAAACTTGACCATTCATCGCCAAACCATGCTCGAGTATATTTAAAATCAACAATCTCAACTTGATTAAGATCCTAAGCACAAGATCGGGTGGATGATTTTGCTTTTTTAGAAATGAAAAAAAAAGAGACAAAATTATAAGAGGGGAAGAACATAGAGGAGAACATCATTGTTATCATCCCGATTACTCTCTCCTTTTCTGTCCACGCCAAACATAATGTGTAAAAAAAGAGTGAAATAATGAGCCCTTGACCGGGCTAGTTTAGTTTGAAATGTAGTTTGTGGAGTAAATTAGCACCGATACCTACCACAAGCCCCAAAAAATAAATAAACAAATTATAATGCTAATGATACCTTGTCTGCATTGGAAGTTGCTGCACCAAGAAGTTAATTAGCACTAAAGACCAAAGATGATCCATCCAACTCCTAGGTCAAGTGATAAAAGAGACGAACTGTAAATTTAGACATCTTGAGTTTAAATATTGACAATATCTTGAGATTAGGGTCGTGAGGGATTTATTCCTCATGAATACCCTAATTCCAACGTGGATAGTCTGTCTTCGACCAGACAAGCCAGAGAATTAATTGAGATACGCGTAACTTAGTTTAGACACATTTGACAATTAAATCAAAAAAAGAAAAGATCATTCATTCACCACTGAGTTTTGGAGCAATACCTCTGCCACTGTGATTCAACAATATTTATATTAATCAATTAATCGTTAGAATATTGTATACTGAATTGTTCTTTGTAATTATGTTGATCAAAGAGATCCATGTTCTCAACTATTTGATTAAGAAAACTTTTGGTTTTTTAATGTTGTCATTATTCTCTTGAATTCTCTTTAACTTTTAGGCTACAAAGGAAGGGATGGACGGACTATAGACCTAACGAGATACGGAAGGGCAAAAAAGGAATAATTGAAAGATAGGTGGTCTTATCATTAACCTGTTAAAATAACTCGATGAAATGATTTCAATATTTAAATGGCTCGAGTTCTAAAGTTTATAGATGATTGTGCATCTCGGAGTTGCTACTGAAAGTTCTATATTTCATTTTCCTTTGAGCAACTATAAGGGTGCAGATGTTACATCACCTAGCTGTAAATGTAAAGCATATATATATCTCTTGGTAGTTGATATGTGTAGAAATTCGAACTAACAAACAAATGGATTCTATGTAAACAAGCTTTAATGTCTTCTTAAGTAGCAGAAAGTCCAAAATGCCTACCAAAAACCTGTGTTAGGATCAACGGTTCACCTAATAATCATCACAGTTTGTTGTTGGATTGTAAGGTCACGGGTTGTTATTTCAGCCACCTTCTATAGTTGTTGATTTTCATCTTTAGACTTGTTCTCTCTCTTTTTAGGGATTTGTTTCTCCCAAATTCTATGTGAGATTCTTTTTTTTTTATTTTTTTTAAAGTGTGCGAGGTTCTGTTTGTTTTATTAGCATTGTTTCATTATTCTATTAACAATCTGTTGGTTTGATTCATTCTTAGACTGTTATGCTTCCTCCAATTACGAAAACAAGAGACTTGTTCTTTGCTTCGATTTTAGAGACAAAAATCGTAAGTTAGATCGGTCCTCTAAAAAAGGCGTGACACTTTTTGGGCATTGCCTAAGATAAGTGAAGTTAGGCCGAGTTAAGTAAAAGAATGGTAGATTGACCCATTTCTTGGGGGTGGGAGAAAGATCTCTCAATGTGAGACCAGCAGCAAAAGAAATAAGAGGAATTGGATGCACCAGGTGCTGCTAATATGAACATAGCCTCTGGTACTTCTACAATCTTCCCCATTCTTATATAGCTTTGTGCTCATACAAAACTTCAATTTCCTTATTTCATCATGTATCACTTCCTTTCGTCTATTTGGGTGTGTTGCAGCCTAAATTCAATCTACTATTAGTGCATATAAGATATCTAGCTACCTTGATATATGGTACGTGATAGGACACGAAACGACTCTCGTATTATAACATGACACGTGAACTTAAACAGTGATACATCGGGGTGATTGGTTGGTCCCAAAAAAAGAATCTAGGGGAATATGCCCTAGCAAACTAAAGAGATAAGATGTATCAAGGATAACGCAACCAATAACAGAGAATGATTACTTCTATAAACAAATCACATAAGAATGAATTTCAAATCTCAAGAAATCCGTATAAAGACATGACTATTGTTGACGAAGATTTCTCGAAGACATGTGAACTTAATGCTCGGCATTAATGCAATAATTGTTTGGTAGAGACCATTAAATGTTGAGGGGACGTGCATCAAGTGTTCGACATCCTAGACAAGATAATCATTGCAGAGCTAAACCATGAGAATACACCAATTTTCCTATGCCTAGTAATTGTTCAGGTAAGGATTCTCCTAGTCAGTTTGATGAGACCCTTATTGTGTTACGTCATTCTTTTAGAGAGTATA